AGCCCCATCAGAGCTCTTGGCGGGGCCAGGTGCCTTGTCAAATGAGCAGTGATATTTTGAAAGGGATCTTTTTTTTCTGAGCACTAGGTCGCAAGAGTGGGCCTAAAGTAGGCAGTGCACCATACTGTAAATAAATATGCTGTCATTCACGCTTTGTTCCATTTGTAGTACAGAGGCAGAGTAGATTTAGCATGATCCATATGGGCCCTAACATTTTCAGAATGGTAAATGAGCACAGGCTTCAACTTAGAGTCATCAGCTGCATTAGCCCCTACCAAGAGCATCAGCCTATCCTTTGAAGCTTTGGTGCCAGGCATTGACTTCTCCTCTCTACCTATGAAAGTCCTAGACGGCATCCTCTTCCAGCAGAGGCTGTAAGTCTACAATGAAAATTGATTGTTTACTGTAGCCACCTTCATTAATGATCTTAGCTGTATCTGGATAACTTGGGGCAGCTTCTATCAATACATCAGCACTTGCTGCTTCACTTTGCACTGTGATGTTATGCAGATGGCTTCTTTCCTTAAACCTCATGAACCAATCTCTGACAGCTTCAGACTTTTCTTCTGCAGCTTCCTCACCTCTCAGCCTTCATAGAATTGAGGAGAGTTAGCGCTTTGCTTGGGCTCCCCTGGTGGCTCAGGTGGTACAATGATCCACCTGAAGTGTGGGAGGCCTGGGTTTGATCCCTGGGTTGGGAAGATCCCCTGGAAGAGGGCGGGGCAATCCACCTCAGTATTCTTACCTGGTGAATCCCCATGGACAGAGGAACTTGGGGCTGCAAAGAGTCGGACATGACTGAGCACCTTAGCGCAGCGCACCGCTCTGCTCTGGGTTTAGGCTTTGTTTAATGGAATGTGTGATCTTCTATCCAGATGATTCAGACTTTCTCCATATCAGTGATAAGGCTGTTTGTTCATGTGTTCATAGGAGTAGCACTGTTAATTTCCTTCAAGAACTTTTCCTTTCAATTCACAACCTGGCTGTTTGCTGAAAAAGTCCTGATTTTCAGCCTATATTGGATTTCAGCATGTCTTCCTCACTAAGGGTAATCATTTCTAGGTTTTAATTTAAAGTGAAAGAAGCGTGACTCTTCCTTTCATGAGAACACCTAGAGACCATTGTAATGTCAATTTTGTTGTGTCTGAGGGAACAGGGAGGTCAGAGGAGAAGGACAAAGATGCGGGAATGGCTGCTCAGGGGAGCAGTCAAAACACACATAATGTGTATCAATTAAGTTGGCTCCAAGCAATTACAGCAGTCACATCAAAAGTCACTGATCATAATGAATATGTAATAATGAAAAGGTTTGAAATATTGTGAGATTTACCAAAATGTGACACAAAGAGAAAAACTAAATGCTGTTGGAAAAATGGCCCAATAGACTGGCTCCATGCAGGGTTGTTACAAACTTACAATTTGTTAAAAAGAAAATGCAATATCTGCTAGGTGCAATAAAACAAGGTATGCTTGTAATTCTAATTCATGAGTACATTGTTTTCTTGACTTCCTCCCCATTTCTTTTATTTCTTTGAGCATCTTGAAGACAGTTATATTAAAGTCTTCGTCTAGTAAATCTGCCATCTGGCCTTTTTCAGAGACAACTTCTGTTGGTGTTTCCCCCTTTGAATGGATGGTCCTTGCTTTGTTTGCCTTGTAGTTTCTTTGCTGTTGAAAACTGGATGTTGGAATCTAATAATGCAGTAACTCTGGAAATCAGATTTTCTCCCCTCCCCAGGGTTTGCTGGATTTTTTTTTTTTAATTAGCTGCAGGCTGTGTGTCAGGAATCAGCCTGAGGTGTAAACTGAAGTTCTCCTCAAGTCTTATCTGAGTGTGAGCTTTTTCCTGGGCACCTTGATGACTTTTTAAATCCCTCCATATGGCAGTTGCTTCTGAATGTCCTCATCCTTAAACTGTTGTTGTTAAGTCATGTCTGAATCTTTGTGACCCCACTGACTGCAGCACACCAGGCTTCCCTGTCCTTCACTATCTCCTAGAGCTTGCTCAAATTCATGTCCATTGCGGGGATGCCATCCGATCATCTCATCCTCTGTCCTTAAATGTTGGCTTCCAAAAGGGAAAAGAAGGAAAATAAATGTGGGGATGGGGTGGAAACAGGCTCTGGCTGTAAGATCAGCAAGACCCCACGGGGCCACCCCAGGGCAGACCCTTCCCCCATATCCTCTGCTTTAGCTCCTATCTGAAGGACCTAGATAATAGTATCTGATGTACATTTCCTGAGTTGCTTTACAGATGCTAAAACAACCTCCAAGTAGAAGAAATTAAGTACTTCATGATCATGAGCATACAGCCCCAGACCTACTGGTGCCCAAGGATTAGCATCATGAGTCCTGTAAGCTGTGTGTCCACTGTTCCAGGAACATGTGCACGGATGCTACCCTGTTACTGAGGGGGGAGTCAGGAGAGACGGGTAGCTGCTACCTTGGGAAGAGCCAAAACTGTGGAAATTGATGACTTACCCTGCAAGCCTTCCTCTGGAAGCTGCAAGCCTTGGAACAGACCAGGAGTTCCAAAATCGTTACACCAGGAGGGTTGTGCCAGTCTGATTGTTGTCTAAGTGAGAAGACAGACTGTGTGCTTCCACCCCACCCTCTTCCCTGATGTCACTTTCTCCTTTATTCCTACACTGTACGGATTTTATTTTATGTGAACATATTACAGATAAAAGACTATTTCACTTTAAAGTAAATTTGCATTCACTTTATGCTTATGAATGTTTTTATAGAATCAGTAGTCATTTGGATTTTTCCTCTCTTTTGTCTGTTTATAGCCTTTGCCTGCTTTTTTTTTTTTTTTTCTCTTAGGAAACATGAGTATTTTTTAAAAATCTCTACAAGTAAACAATTTAAGCAAAGAATGCTGACAAATATAATGAAAACTGTTTACCCACTTTAGTTTTCAGAGATAGGTGAATTAAAATGGCAGAATGAGGCCATTTATACCATTTTAAGTAGAAGGAAAATAGAATTGATACAACGCAAAATCTGGCAAAGCTATGTTCAACCAGGCCTATTCTAACTTTGCTGGCGGCAAGGTGGAACCCTTTTAGAAAGCAACTAAGCTCCACAAATATTTATATCCTTGGTCCAGAAATTTTTCCTAGACTAACTTGTGAAAATAAAAAAAGAAATACCTGTGGGCACAAATATATTCCTATCAGCTCTGTTTATACTTATGAAATATGGAAACAACCCAAATGTCTAAACAACAGGAGTCTGGCTTAGCTGAACAAGGTACAGTCTCCCAAGTTGAAAGTTTTGCGGTCATTTAAAGGGGATATCATGTATCATTCAAGGAAAATTCTGCAAGACACTGTCATGTGAAAGCCAGGCTGCCGGCGGAGTGACTGCAATGACGCAGCTGCAGAAGTCGCTTTGGCTCGGGGCCAGGGACTAGGGGCCCGCAAACAGGGCTGGGGGAGGGGCGGGAGGGAAGGAGGTGGGGGGGCCTTGGTGAGCTCCCCTCGGCTCTGATTTCTGTTGTTCTCATGATGCTACTTGGGCCATTAATGGAAAGAAAAAAAAAGGATGGAAATGGTTTGAGTGGAAGAAAGAGGCAAGAGTCACAAATTCACTGCATAATAACAAAATCTGATTAGGAAATTCAGTTAGCTAGCTCTCCACGTTGTTGGTGGGAACACGGGATCTGAATTTGGTGGAGAGGGAGCAGCCTGCTGCCTGGATGGGCAGTGTGCTCACGAGACCGTACGTGGTCTTGGGACACCCCACCCTGGGCTTGGGGTCGGGGGATGATCCCTGAGAGCAGCCTGAGTTGTGCATACCTCCCACCCCAGCTCATCACCGGTCCTGGGCTGGACCCCCGAGTGAGGATACTTAGCACCAATATGAAAGCCACCCATATCAGCAGGTCCTCGATCATCCTTTGGAGCTGGGTGATAGGAAGGACTGCCTTCTCTCACCTGGCCCCCACCCTCTGCCCTCCAGCCAGGCCTCTCTGGCCCCAGGGCCTTTGCACCTGCACCGTCCTAGCCCTGAACAGCTTTCCCCCAGCCTTCGGGCTTCAGAGCAAACAGCCCGCTCAGAGAAGCTCCCCCCAGCCTCTGTCACCTCTGGCTCGGCCTCTTATCCCCTTTACAGCACACACCACAGCCAGCAGTTATTTCGCACATTTGTCTGCCTGACTTTCTGCCTGTTTCCTCTGAACACCCAGCCAGGGCAGGAATTTGGGGTGTCTGACTCACAGCTGTAGAGTCAGTTCCCAGCTTATAAGTGATGCTCAGTAAGTGTGTGGGTGGGGAAAGGCTGCTTCTGTCTGTGTTTCTGAATTATGCACATGGAGTGGAAACCATCCTCCAGAGGGGGATGTGGCCGGAGGCTGGTCTCAGACCCCCGCACCCCGGACCTCAGTGTGACACGTGCTTCGGCTTCTTACCAGCTGTGTGACTTCAGACAGGATACTTGGCCTCTCTGATCTTCAGTCACTTCCTTTGTAAAATTGGAATACCATACCAGCAGGGAGGGGACTGTGGAGTTCACTCTGAAACAGGGCGGGGGCAGGGTCTGGGAAGCCTCCGTGTTCCCCTTCTTTGCTTGCCAGGACTTCCCTGGTGGCTCAGATGATAAAGAATCTGACTGCAATGCAGGAGACCCAGGTTCGATCCCTGGGTTGGGGAGATCCCCTGGAGAAGGAAATGGCAACCCAGTCCAGTATTCTTGTCTGGAGAATCCCATGGACAGAGGAGTCTGGCAGGCTGCAGTCCATGGGGTTGCAAAGAGTCAGAAACAACTGACCAACTCATACACACATACACATGAAGGGAAGGAAGTAGCATTAATTGAGCACCTAGTGCATACGAGGCACCGTAGTAGACAGCAGGAATGCAGTGGTGAATAAAACAGAAACTGCACCCCAGCCCCAGAAACTCCAGATGACAGCAGGAGACGGACACAGGGCCTTCCACACAGCCTGAGTGTCAGGGAACAGACGGGTAAGGTGTGAGCAGGACCAGCCTGGAGGGTCAATGGGAGGAGATATTGCTCTGAAACATCACATGGGCAGGAGTCTGGGGAAAAGGAAAAACAGGCAGAGGAAGGAGAGTCGTGGAGCCCCTAGGACAGGATGAAGCTGGGCACATGCAAGGATGGAATGGAGGGGGAGCGGAGTCATTGGAGGAAGCATGGCCGCCTTGCTCTTGTCCATCCTGACCCGGCCATCACCAAGCACCTGCAGGGCCCCGAGTCAGTGCAGGCTCAGGACGCAGCTCAGGGCCAGGTGGAACAGGGAACCCACTCTTACCTTCGGCAATGCATACTTTGGCAGCTTCATCAGGACAAATTCATTGCGACGGTAAGAGATGTAGTATTTGGTCTGGTTTGTTGTGGTTGCCTAACAGGAGGGGAAGAATACTTTTTTAAGGGGCTCGGTTTCCAGTTAAGCCAGATCTTCATGAATGAAAACTACACCTTGTATTTCAGCGGGTGAAAATGCCCTTTCAAGTTGTTTGCATGTGCTTTGCCTGAACTAGACAGACTCCTATTCATCCTCCAGAGCCCCATGCCAAATGCCCCACCTCTGGGAAGTCTTCCTCCACCTCCCTCAGTTAGAACTAATCTCCTTCCCTCTTTCAGCACTTCGCTTCCCTATATCTGAGTTACAGTACAAGGGAAAGGAAATTCTGTTCCCCAGAACTTCTCTTAGTGAGGATGCTTGGTGGGCCACCAAGAGGCAGGACAAAGGCGACTTCAAGTCACACAAGGTGCCACCAAAACACAAGGTAAGAGAAGCAAAACGGCAGGCAAGGCTCCTGAGACTGCCACGTGTATGACGTAAGACAGCGCATCCGCATCCACACCAGCAACTCCACGAGCTGCGGCCACTTGCACTTAACAGATGAGCAAAGTGCGGCCCAGAGTTGGAGTAACTTGTCTCCCATGGGAGACAATGGAAGAGCCAGGAAAGGGCGGCATTTGCTTCTTTGGGGGAAGGGACAAGTGGAGAGGAAGGAGAGGGGAAGGGGAATAAGAGTGCAACAGGTGATGGGAGACGGACTGGGCCAGGAGCTGGAGGCCTGTGGCCCCTGACCTCAGCGCCTAGCCAGGCACGCACCTCCCCGGTCTGACGCAGACAGTGTCACCAGCGGCAGACCAGGCCTCCGCGACAGAGCTGAGAGCGGTCATGATCACGCTTGAGCACTGCCAAGGCTGAGCTCAGGGGTGGCTCCTTCACCCACCGCAACTCAGCTTCTTGAGCCCCCACTTCTAGACCTGGTCCCTGAGCGGCCCGATCACAGTGGCCCCTGCTTCCTTACAGCACCCCAATCCTCCCTGAGCCCCCTCCCATGGCCCACCCTCGGTCTGGCCAGCCTTCCCCACCTCTAACCAAGCCCCCACCCCCATCCAGGGCCCCCTGCTGCACAAGGACCAGCCCAGCCCGTTTGGCCACAGCTGTGTCCCCAGGATCTCAGGCTGGGGTGCTGGCGGACCAAGCAAAATGTTTTGAAAACACTCCACGTGGGATTGATTGTCAGAGAAGCTGATGCCATTGTCGCTCCAACACTCAGCAGATGTTTGAGAAATGCAGTAGGAGGTGCTGAGTATAGACCTGGAGCACACCCTCCCTGCAGACTGCAGTGTCCACGGTAAACAGTAACGGATGCCAGTGTGGCCTGGGCTGCAGTGAAGGAAGGGAGAGANAGGTGCTGAGTGTAGACCTGGAGCACACCCTCCCTGCAGACTGCAGTGTCCACGGTAAACAGTAACGGATGCCAGTGTGGCCTGGGCTGCAGTGAAGGAAGGGAGAGAGCTAGGAGTGCTCCAAGGAGGCAACCAGCGGGTCTGAAGTAGATAGAAGCCAAAGAAGGCTTCCTGGAGGAGGGAGTATATGACAGAGTATTGGAAGAGGAGGTGGAGAAGGGGCCACGAGCACTCCAAGCCCAGGGAAGAGCATGTGCAAACACAGAAGAGATGGGAAGCCGAGGGGCATCAGCAGTGGGTGAAGGAGGATGAAAGCAGGGCTGGGAGTCAGGGCTGGAAGTGGCAGGAGCCTCTTACTGACTGCTCTAACAGGGGCCGCAACACACCCTGCCAGTGCCAGCCCCAGCTCTACAGGAGGTGTTGGTTCACTCTGCTGGGGCGATGAAGTGTCTCTGAGATGGGGGAGTCTTCAGTGGAGAGAGCACCCAGGGGCTGTCTCCACGAGAGCCTCTGGTATTATCTCCTGGGATCCCAGGGGGCAGAACAGGGACCAGTGGATGAGAGTCGAGGAAGCACTTTATCTCACTGCTGTAATGACGTTTCCAAAGATCTGAGTTCTCTCAGAGCGGGTGGGCTGTTTTGAAAGGAGCGAGTTCCTCGTCAGTGGAAGTAATCAAGAAGTGGTATGACCAGCTGCTCCCTGGAGTTTCTGAACAGTCAGATCACACGGTTTTGGAGGGTGGTCCCAGCTGTGGTCTAAGCAGCAGGGAGCAGGACTTGGTCCCTGGGCTGTGGACAGCTGATGCCCAGTAGCCAAGAACAATGATCAGGGCAACCCATATCAACTCAAAGCCACCAGAACCAGACGGAGCAACACGGGTTCAGGCTTGGGGGCCCTGAGCTGTGGGGGGTCCTGGTGGACAAAGGGAGAAGGAGCAAATGGCAGCCCATTGCCAGTGCTCTGGCTTTGTGGGGTCCTGGGGGGGGGGCGTTGCCTCATCGCACGGGCAGGAGGAACTGAAGTAAGTAGCACTTGGAAGTAAAATAGCCATTTTATGGCTTCCTGTTGGAGTGATTCCATTTTCCCCAGAGTGGCTTATATTCCACATCACCTCCTGCCAATTTCCAGGAGCCCGGAAGCAAGCTCACCTTAACGAACACGTAATCATCCTGCACGGTCAGAGAGCCATGGTCGATAAGACCCACGAAGGGCATCGTCTGCATGTTATCCGAGCAGTTGTGGATCTGGCAGGTGATGTAGCGAAAACCTGCAGGAGAGAAGAGGCAGCCAGGCGGGGCGTGAAATCTCTAAATACCCGGACGCCAGCTGACGGAGTCAGACGCAGCCTCAGACATGACGAAGTGCTAAGCCTTCTTGGCTCCGTCTGTGTCCTGAAACCACCGCCGCGGATGTTGTTTGTGGGTCTGAATTTTGAAGGGTTGGCCCTGTGATTACTATATCTGTTGCTGAGTGTGGGGTGGCTCTGGGCCCGGAGCTCTCCTGGGCGGAGCTCTCTGAATCCTTAGGACCATCCTCTGGTTGGGGGGGGGGTCCCATCTTCTAGACGCAGAAACTGAGGCTGAGCGGAGTTAGAGAGTTGTCTGCTCAGGGCCACCAGGATGGCCCCCAGGCTTTTCCCAAAGAAAGGCTCATTGGAACACAGCTGTGTCTGCTGCTTTACGCATCACACACAGCGCCTTCACGCCACTATGGCGGTCACGGGCAGCACAGGCCACATGGGCAGCCAAGCTGAAACGTTTAGCAGCGGGCCTTGATGGGAAGCGTCTGCTGAGCCTGGGCTAAAGTCATGCAGGAGAGCACAGCTCTGTGAGCGCAGGACTTGGCCCACATTCTGCCCCGTGCACCCTCTGCCCCTGCGGACACAGCACCTGCACACCCCTGGGCACCTGGACCCCCCTCTGGGAGACGGACCGCAGAGCGACCCCCAGAGATGGTGGGCGGGAGATCCCCACACAACCCCCACCCGCTGGCCTTCTCCGGGCCTAGCGTATGGTCACCCGGGGAAGGGACAGTCTAGGGCCACAGTGCCTGTCATGGCTGGGACCCCTCCCGCCCTCCAGATGTCTCTCCACTCACACCCAATCAACAGGTGGGTGTGAGCGGGACTCAGGAGTTCTTTCCCCTTTAGATTTAGGCAAACCCTTTCAGCCTTTTTGAAATTTCTATGGTTGAGCAAATGGAATTGACGGAGTCAGACGCAGCCCCAGACATGACGAAGTGCTAAGCCTTCTTGGCTCCGTCTGTGTCCTGAAACCACCGCCGCGGATGTTGTTTGTGGGTCTGAATTTTGAAGGGTTGGCCCTGTGATTACTATATCTGTTGCTGAGTGTGGGGTGGCTCTGGGCCCGGAGCTCTCCTGGGCGGAGCTCTCTGAATCCTTAGGACCATCCTCTGGTTGGGGGGGGGGTCCCATCTTCTAGACGCAGAAACTGAGGCTGAGCGGAGTTAGAGAGTTGTCTGCTCAGGGCCACCAGGATGGCCCCCAGGCTTTTCCCAAAGAAAGGCTCATTGGAACACAGCTGTGTCTGCTGCTTTACGCATCACACACAGCGCCTTCACGCCACTATGGCGGTCACGGGCAGCACAGGCCACATGGGCAGCCAAGCTGAAACGTTTAGCAGCGGGCCTTGATGGGAAGCGTCTGCTGAGCCTGGGCTAAAGTCATGCAGGAGAGCACAGCTCTGTGAGCGCAGGACTTGGCCCACATTCTGCCCCGTGCACCCTCTGCCCCTGCGGACACAGCACCTGCACACCCCTGGGCACCTGGACCCCCCTCTGGGAGACGGACCGCAGAGCGACCCCCAGAGATGGTGGGCGGGAGAGCCCCACACAACCCCCACCCGCTGGCCTTCCCCGGGCCTAGCGTGTGGTCACCCGGGGAAGGGACAGTCCAGGGCCACAGTGCCTGTCACGGCTGGGACCCCTCCCGCCCTCCAGATGTCTCTCCACTCACACCCAATCAACAGGTGGGTGTGAGCGGGACTCAGGAGTTCTTTCCCCTTTAGATTTAGGCAAACCCTTTCAGCCTTTTTGAAATTTCTATGGTTGAGCAAATGGAACACCAGCTTTGCCTGGAGACTCCCATTCCCTCAGGCCCTGTTTCCGGGATGGGGCCTGGGGAGTTGCCTGGAGCCTTTTCCCTGGGGACTCATCTCTTCCATAGGTGGGCAGGAGCGGAATTAACCACAGGGACCAAAGCCAGGTGCTCAGAGACATCAGCACCTTTGGGGGCATATCCTACCCATGGCCTGGGGTAGTTGGGTAGGATAGAGAGTGCCAGGGGGCTGGTCTGGGGGCCGAAAGACGTGCCCTAACTCACTGGCAGGGTCCCCTGAAATAGTATACACAGTAGGATTGCAATCAGCCCTGAAAACAGTGCGCACAGTAGGCTGACAATCAGCCCTGAAACAGTACTTGCAGTAGGCTCACAATCAGCCCTGAAAACAGTGCACACAGTAGGCTCACAATCAACCCCTGAAACTGCACACAGCAGGCTCACAATCAACCGCTGAAACTGTGCACAGTAGGCTCACAATCAGCCCTGAAAACAGTGCGCACAGTAGGCTCACAATCAGCCCTGAAACAGCGTGCACAGTAGGCTCACAATCAACCCTGAAACAGCACGCACAGTAGGCTCACAACCAGCCCTGAAAACAGTGCGCACAGAAGGCTCACAATCAGCCCTGAAACAGCACGCACAGTAGGCTTGCAATCAGCCCTGAAAACAGTGTGCACAGTAGGCTCGCAGTCAGCCCTGAAACAGTGTGCACAGTAGGCTCACAATCAGCCCTGAAATAGCACGCATAGTAGGCTCACAATCAGCCCTGAAACAGCACGCACAATAGGCTCACAATCAGCCCTCAAAACAGCGTGCACAGTAGGCTGACAATCAGCCCTGAAACAGTGCTTACAGTAGGCTCACAATCAGCCCTGAAAACAGTGCACACAGTAGGCTCACAATCAACCCCTGAAACTGCGCACAGCAGGCTCACAATCAACCGCTGAAACTGCGCACAGCAGGCTCACAATCAACCGCTGAAACTGTGCACAGTAGGCTCACAATCAGCCCTGAAAACAGTGTGCACAGTAGGCTCACAATCAGCCCTGAAACAGCGTGCACAGTAGGCTCGCAATCAGCCATGGCTGTGCCACAGCCCGTTCCCTCTAGAACCACGTCCGTCTCCCCTCTAAACAGGCCAGTCACTCCCTGTGGTCAGCACTGAATGTCCTGTCGTGGGCTTGCCTGGCTGGGCATGCTGTGGGGTCTAACCCAGGCCAGCCTCAGTGGACCTCGGTCTGCTCACTCACCCATTCACTGCTTCGTTCACTCACCTGCCCCCTCACTCACGCATGCGTTCGTCCGCTCGTTCGCTCGCTCACGTCACGATGCTCAGGGCCTCCTTGTTCCTGCTGTACTGCCAGCAAGACAGAGCCCACCTCTCACGGCGCTGACGGGCTGTGCCGTGGGGAAGGGGCTGGCCCGCAGCCCGCGCTAATCTCTATGGCATAAACCACTCTCTGGAGCCACTCCGGCTGCCGAGGGGACGTTTCTGACCACGGGGCTAAGAACGGAGGTGGACGCTTGGCTCTCGTGAGCAAGCCCCAGTGTGACAGGAGTGACCGCCCTCCTGTCCACAGCCTGCAATGTCACCGCAGCGTCCTTCCGGGGACAGGGGCCCAGCCTTCCCGCGGAGGAAATGACAAGGGCAGGGTGACCCTGGGGAAAGGTCAGCAGCTCAGGCTGGCTGGAGGGTGGGTGGGGGTGGCCAGTGCAGTGGGTCCTAAAGGCCGGGATTCTGTGCCACCAAGCTCGGCTGGACTGGGTTCTAGCAGGATTCCCAGACCGGGGTGGCTGGGAGCAGGGGGGTGGTTCGGGAATTTTGCATGGAGGGTGGCAGGGCTGGGCTCTGCACCGGCTCCAGGCCCCATGACTGAGCCCTATAAGTGAAGCAGAGGCAACAGTAACATTGCCCTGCCCCCTGCAGGTGGGGGCTGCAGGTGTCCAGGGAAGAGCCGAGGGTCTGGAGGTGGTAAGGGGATCCCCCCGCCCACTTGATGACCCACGCCGCCCCAGGCTGAGCACGTCGCGTGGGACCCCTTCCACAGAGAAGGATGCTGAGCGCAGGGAGCGAGCCGAGGTCACTTCCAGGGTCACCCGGCTGCCATGTAGAGGGCTGGGAGCTATCTCCAGAGCTTCAGTCACGGCCAGGACTCTGGTGCCTGGCACTGAGCCCGCCCCCCATGTAGTATGTCCCCCTGCCGGGGACAGCAGCTTGCACTCGTCAGCACCCACTGTAAGTTAAGCGTGACCCTTTCCGGGTCGGCACTCCAGTAGAAACCAAGGAGGTCCTGCCGGGCAAGGGGCAGGGCTGTATCCTGTCCACCTGTGGGTCCTCAGGAGGGTCAGCCCTGGGCCTGGCCCGCAGGGGGCTCAGCCAGTGTTTGTTGAGTGAAGGCACAACCTACAGGTCCTACTGGCTGTGGTGTTTAGAACACTGCATGGTTCTGTCGGGAGAGGACCTTCCTCATAGCTTGTGTGGCCCCTGGGCTCATCGGCCAGGAAGGCCCCTACCCCCCGGGAGGCGGGGGGAGCCCTCGGAGTCCCTGCCCCACCTCAGCACTCAGCAAGTGCAGGGGAGGGATCGGGGCTGAGAGACGGGGAACCACTCAGTGCTCAGGGCCCAGAACAAATCGCCCTCTTAATAGACTTTTCCACTGGAGCGGAGCTCCTTGACTTCAATTTATCCCTGGCTGGAAAACAAGCACATTTAAAATTATGCCACATCGTAACACAGCGAGGTCAGCTGTTCAGGGCCAGTCGCCAAGGACAAGGGCGGCCGAGCCTGCCGTGGGGTGAGCACTCGGGGTGCCCGGCTCCTACATCCTCCCTGCTTACCTCCTCCAAGGTCCTGGGCCTCCACGTGGACCAAGTCAGGGTCAGCATCCACCCCAGACACAGCCCTGGAAAAGAACGGCAGAGGTTGGCTTTGGAAACGAAGCCCCCAAGCCCTTCCTGACGGGCCTGCCTGATGCCAGAACCCCTGTGCCCGGCTCCTACGTCCTCCCTGCTTACCTCCTCCAAGGTCCTGGGCCTCCACGTGGACCAAGTCAGGGTCAGCATCCACTCCAGACACAGCCCTGGAAAAGAACGGCAGAGGTTGGCTTTGGAAACGAAGCCCCCAAGCCCTTCCTGACGGGCCTGCCTGATGCCAGAACCCCTGGGAGCCTCATGGCCTCCTGGGTCCCAGGCTCAGAGGACACGTCCCTCCCCCAGAGTCCACCTGCTGTTGGGAGGCCGACGGAGCCCTCGCCTCTGCCTTGCTGGGCATTCTTCCATTTACAGTAGTTTAGAGAAGACTTGTACGTCCATGTCTGTACATGTGTGTATGCACGTGTGTGTGCATCTGTGTGTTAATGATCGAAACAATCTTACGAGGCCTGAGATGTCTGGAAATATCATTCTAGTTTGGGGGCTTCCCTGGCAGCTCTTGGGAAAGAATCTGCCTGCAATGCAGGAGACCCTGGTTTGATTTCTGGGTTGGGAAGATCCACTGGAGAAGGGATAGGCTACCCACTTCAGTATTCTTGGGATTCTCTTGTGGCTCAGCTGGTAAAGAATCCGTCTGCAATGCGGAAGACCTGGGTTCGACCCCTGGGTTGGGGAGATCCTCTGGAGAAGGGAAAGGCTACCCACTCCAGTATTCTGGCATGGAGAATTCCAAGGACTATATAGTCCAGGGGGTCGCAAAGAGTTAGACACGACTGGTCCAGGGGTTCGGACATCAGAGGGACACTGTGGGGACCGTGGCTGAGGACAACAGAGTGCTCAGCGAGGGCTGAGAAGAACGGCAGGATGATGCGTCCTGAGGACACAGGGACTGGGGCTATGTCCTCCATGGGTGGCAAGGACAATGTTGACCCCTGCCCGCCCAGAACAGGGCAGCCAGGAGGTGGAGTGCAGGGTTTTCATGTGAAAGAACACTTTGGGATGATGTGATGTGGTCCAGGGTTTCCCAGATTTTACTGGTTCCGCGTGTCAACTGGATGGTCACCTTCTATCTGTCCACTCCCTTTAGAACCTGCTGTGTACTTCAGCCATCTCTTAAGCGAGAACACCCAGGAGGTCGTGGGTGTGATGAGCTGACTGCATTGGTTACAATGTACACTCCAGCCAATATGACTATTCAAGAGGCGTCCACCAGGCTGACCGTCTCACAGACACTGACCTGGCTGGTGCAGCACATTTACTTTGCCAAAGAGCAGACTGAGAATCTGATGCAGAGTCTCACTGCATCAGAGCGAGGGTCATCAGAGGCGCCACTCAACGCCCAGGACAGGCATCCCCACGGCCCCTCCAGGCCAGTGAGACGTCCCCGCAGAGCACTCAGCTCCCACTGCTGACAGCCCCTGGCCCGGAGCTGACCCCCCACTTCTCAACTTGCCACCAGCAGCTTGGCACCGGGGTCCCTATGTGCTTCGTCTCCTCTAGGGACCAGGTGGTCCCAGCTGGACACGGGAAATCCACAGAAGCTCTGGGTGGTGGGAAATGCAGTCAGGGCATTTCAGTGTGGGAAGCCAGCATCAATCACTCTGACCCTCCAGACAGTCTTGAGAGGAAGGTGAAGTGTTGATTTAGGTTTGGTGAATAGGCTATCTGTAAGCTCCTTGGAAGGAGGTCTCCTGCCTGACATTTTCCTCTCTTTTCTGAACAAAGTCAGACATTGTTCCCTTTACCAGGAGCACTGATGGGTCCTTGGCTCAGCAGGGGAAGTTTAGTTTGATCATCCATCATCTGTGAATGGGGTAATGACACCTGGCCTATGGCTTGCTCACATTCACTCACTCACTCACTTTCTCATGCACTTGTTCATTCACTCATTCATTTATCTCACTTTTCATTCATCCATTCATTCCCTCTCTCTCTCCATCAGAATCTCTCTCCTGCCACTTCCCAGCGGGCCCACACACCAGGCCCAGCAACAGGCTGGGAGCACGGTGAGCCTGAGGTCCCTGCCCCTAGAAACCCTAGACCACAGGTCTTGAAAGACCTCGTGAACCTCTGCACTTACACAGCTCAGATGGAGCCTGGCTCCCTGCGGGAAGGGACAAGCGTTGCCCCCTAGGTCTTATTGTTTGTCAAGGTCCCCAAAGCTGGTGTCTGGGGAAGGCCCTCTGTCTGCTGTTTGGAAGCAGCAGTCGCTTGAGAAGACCTGTGCCTGGGCAAGCTGCTGGAAAAGCCCAGAGTTCTGGGATCCTGGGGAGTTGACAGTTACTAAGGGAAGTTCTGATGCAAACAATCCCACTAAACCCTCAAAGACGCCCACCGCCCCCTCCAGGGCTGCAGCGGTCACCCCCTCACCTCCCTTCAGGACAGAGGCCTGCCCCTTGCCCCCCACCTGGCAGGCACTGGCGCTCACGGAAGAGGAAGACTGAGGCTTTATGGGTGGACTCGGGCTGGAGTGCCAAGGCCGACTTGGAAATGCCTGGGGAATGCAGGAGAGCAGATTGCCTGGCAGAGCGGCCAGGGGCAGGGCCACTGGCCACAGGCAGAAGCAGCCGTGGCCTGGGGCTGCTGCTTCCAGGCGGGGTGACTGAAGACGCGTGCCCTGGCCTCTCCCCACGTCCCCTCCGTATCATGAAGGGGAGACAGTCGGGGCTCTCGTGTGGATTTCATAAGATGATGCACTTGGACCCGCAGTGGGGGCCTGGTGGACGGTCAGTGTTCACAACGCGGCTGCCGCTGGGAGGCCGTCATGATTCTGCCCCAGTGCCGTTGAGAGACCAGCAGGGAGGTGACGAGCCAGCGTCATCACGGGCCCACAGTAGGTCTCCCCGTCCCTGGCCGTGGCCCCAGGAGGTCAATCTAGTGAGCTCAGTTGCTTAAGCTTCTCAAAACATGATGGTTTTAGAACATGGGGCTTTGGCAATTCCCGCTGTCATTTCAACGACAGAAGCTTGGGGAAAAAATCATTTGATTTGCCCGAGATAACAACGTGTCTGCATGAGTACCAGCTCTGCTTTCAGTGTCTGTGGGCCGCTTCTCTCCGCGGCCCCTGATGTCTCCCCGGGACTGGACGCGTCAGTGGAGCTGCCAGCTCGGCTAATCTCCTAGGGCACCAGCTCAGAGACCGCCCCCTCCCTGACCCTTCCCCTCCTGACCCCGCCCACCTCCTAGCCCCTCCCCTTCTCCTAACCCTTCCCACCTCCTGACCCCTCCCCACTCCTGACCCCAACCCCTCCTTACTCCTCCCCTCCTGACCCCCCCTCTTCCTAGCCCCTCACCTTCTCCTGACCCCGCCCACCTCCTGACTCATCCCTAATCGTGGCTCCTCCCCCTAGCCCCTCCCCTCCTCCTGACCCCTCCCACCTTCTAGCCCCTCCCCTTCTCCGGAAGGACAAGGCCTGAGACTGGTGCCCTAGTTTCTGAGGAAGTCCCGGGCCCTCCGGAGGGCAGCCATGTGGTGGAAGGCGCACCGACAGGCCATTGTTCCAGGGGAGAGACCGAGGCTTCCCTCCTGCGGCCTGTGGCCCTGTGTCAGCCCGCTAGTTCCGGGTCCTGACGGGCATGAAGACACTGAAGAGGCAGGCGGGTGGCAGGGAGCTGTCTCCACGTGTCCGTCCTGCGGAGACAGGACTGTGGCCTGGCGGGAGTCCATGCGTTAGTGTGTGGCCCGAACGAGATGCGAAGCAGAGAACACGAGTGTGTGCGCGCACACGTCCACACTCAGGAATCACAACTTGGTAGAGAGCCTGTCTCTCTGTGCACCTCTAGAGGCCGCGGGAGTTCCACGCTCGGAGGCTTCCCCTTCCTCTGCCCGCGGACCTCGGCCAAGTCTCATCCTCCGTGGGCCTCATTCGCTCGCTCATCCAACAGGCATTTCCTGAGCACCGGAGCCCCCTCACTGGGGCAGTGAGACTAGAGTCCTACCTACGCAGATCGATTTTGATCAGCTCCCAAGAGATGCCAGAAATGGGGAGGGGGCCGGGGCTGCACGCCAGGCAGTGAGTCAGGGGCTGAGTCAGGACGGG